GAGCAGAACTAGAGCAGAACTAGAACAGAACTAGAACAGAACTAGAACTGAACTAGAACTGAACTAGAACTGAACTAGAACTGAACTAGAACAGAACTAGAACAGAACTAGAATAGAGCTGAACTGACCATGAACTGAACTAGAACTGACCTTGAACTGAACTAGAACTGACCTTGAACTGACCTTGAACTGACCTAGAACTGAACTAGGACTGAACTAGAACTAGAACTGTACTAGAACTAAACTAGAACTGAAATAGAACTGAACTAGAACAGAACTAGAACAGAACTAGAGCAGAACTAGAACTAGAACAGAACTGGAACAGAACTAGAGCAGAACTAGAACAGAACTGGAACAGAACTAGAACAGAACTAGAACAGAACTGGAACAGAACTATAACTGAAATAGAACTGATTTATAAAGAATATTTTGAATTTTTTTAAATTTCTTTTTAAATTATTAAAACTTCAGTAATTTGTTTCCTTTCTTTTTTAAATTTGTCTTTTGTTTAACTTATTTTTGCAGTCATATTAACAAATTTTATTTTAATTGCTCTTTTCAACAGTTATTTTAACAGTTTTTTATTTAAATTTGTGTATTTTCTTTATAATAAATGGCTTTTTTAAATGTTTTATATAATTATTTCTTTCTTTTTTTCTTGTTACGAGGTATATAATTCTTTTTTTTTAATATTTGTTAATGATTTGTTGTTTATTTTTATTTGTTATGTTTTAAGAGAGTTTTTCTATTATTTACTTAAGGCTGTAATGAAGTTATTTTCTTTTTTGTGAGTTTGTTTTGTATAAAAAAAAATCTTATAAAATTATAAAAAATTAAAAAAATTAACTTATTTATAAAACTTATAAACTAAATGGCAATACAAGTCTTTTCGTTAAAAAAAATAGTAAAAATAATATAAATATTAAGAGAAGAGTTGTTTGTTTGGTTTAGAGGGGGAGAAGGGTGAGTAGGTTGAGAAGGAGTTTTTAGATTTGTGTAACACAAATTGTACTTGAATTTAAAAAAAATAATAATAAATTAGTAATAAAATTAAAAATAAAACAAAGTAATAACTTTGTTAAGTTTTAAATTAAAATAAAAATAAATTAAGTTTTGTTTTATAGTTTAAATTTAAAAAAATGTTAAATAAATTAATAATTAATAAATGCAGAATTGGTAAAAATTGTTGCAACAAAAAGTTGTTTTTTGTTAAATAAAACAAATTTTATAAAAATTGAAATAATTTAAAAATTTAAAAAAAATATATATATAATTTTTCCTTTTTGCATTGTTTATTTGTACAGTTTTTGTTTCAGAAATAATATTTATGTTTATTTTTAATTTAATTTTTAATTTTACTTAAAAATTATTGATTGTTTTTTTCATGTTATTTTTTTGTAAAAAATATAGTTTTTTTTTTCTGTTTTGTCTTTTTTTTTTTAAATAAAAAAACAAATCTTATTTTAAATAAATATATTACGAAGCAGCATTTTTTTTTTGTATATTTTTGTTGTATTTTTTTATGTTTTATTAATAAAGTTAATTAATTAATGACTTAAGCTTCACCTCATCATAATGATTTAGAGTGTAAGTAAGTGTGTTAAATAGGAAACCTATGAAAACTGAAGCATTTAATAAGGATTTTAAGCGAAAAAAAGTGAGGAAAATTTTGTTTAGAAAAGAATTCATTGAAAAGACGCTAAAAAGTCCCACTGTGAAAAGTATTTTCTTTAAAAAATCGACAGGCCAAAACATTTGGTTACATATTTTCTTTATAAAATTACAGTCCCAAAGTTTGTGTTACATCTATTTTAAAGTCTATTCTATAGTTTAGTCTGGTCTAGTCTGTAGTCGAGTATATAGACTAGTCTATAGTAGAGTAAATAGACAAGTCTGTAGTCGAGTATATAGACTAGGGTCTATTCGAGCATACAGACTAGTTTGTAGTCGAGTATATAGAATATTCTGTAGTCTAGTCTGCAGACTAGCCTGTAGTCGAGTATGTAATCTAGTCAATAGGCTAGTCTGTAGTCCATTCTATAGACAAGTCTGTAGTCTATATTCTATAGACTAGTCGGTAGTCTAGTCTATAGACTAGTCAGAAGTCTAGTCTATAGACTAGTCAGAAGTCTAGTCTATGGACTAGTCAGTAGTCTAGTCTATAGACTAGTCAGTAGTCTAGTCTATAGACTAATCAGCAGTCTAGTATATAGACTAGTCAGCAGTCTAGTATATAGACTAGTCAGCAGTCTAGTATATAGACTAGTCTGTAGACCAGTCAGTATTCTAGTCTGTAGACCAGTCAGTATTCTAGTCTATAGACTAGTCAGTAGTCTAGTCTATAGACTAGTCTGTAGTCTAGTCCGTAGACTAGTCTCTGGTCTGGTCTATAGACTAGTCTATAGACTACTCTGTAGTCTATTCTATAGACTAGACGGTTTTCTAGTCTGAAGTCTAGTTTACAGAGCAGTCTATAGTCTAGTCTATTGTCTAATATATAGTCTTGTCTATAGTCTAGTCTATAGTCTAGTCTATAGTATAGTCTATAGTCTAGTCTATAGTCTAGTCTATAGTATAGTCTATAGTCTAGTCTATAGTCTAGTCTATAGTATAGTCTATAGTCTAGTCTATAGTATAGTCTATAGTCTAGTCTATAGTCTAGTCTATAGTCTAGTCTATAGTATAGTCTAGTCTATAGTCTAGTCTATAGTCTAGTCTATAGCCTAGTCTATAGTGTAATCTATAGTCTAGTCTATAGTCTAGTCTATAGTCTAGTCTATAGTCTAGTCTATAGTCTAGTCTAGTCTATAGTCTAGTCTATAGTCTAGTCTAGTCTAGTCTATAGTCTAGTCTATAGTCTAGTCTATAGTCTAGTCTAGTCTATAGTCTAGTCTATAGTCTAGTCTATAGTCTAGTCTATAGTCTAGTCTATAGTCTAGTCTAGTCTATAGTCTAGTCTATAGTATAGTATAGTCTAGTCTATAGTCTAGTCTATAGTCTAGTTTATAGCCTAGTCTATAGTCTAGTCTATAGTCTAGTTTATAGTCTAGTCTATAGTCTAGTCTATAGTCTAGTCTATAGTCTAGTCTATAGTCTAGTCTATAGTCTGGTCTATAGTCTAGTCTATAGTCTGGTCTATAGTCTAGTCTATAGTCTAGTCCATAGTCTAGTCTATAGTCTAGTCTATAGCCTAGTCTATAGCCAAGTTTATAGTCTAGTCTATAGTCTAGTCTATAGTCTAGTCTATAGTCTAGTCTATAGCCTAGTCTATAGCCTAGTCTATAGCCTAGTTCATAGTCTAGTCTATAGTTTAGTCTAGTCAACAGTTTAGTCTAGTCTACAGTTTAGTTTAGTCTATAGTCTAGTCTATAGCCTAGTCTATAGTGTAATCTATAGTCTAGTCTATAGTAAAGTCTAGTCTAGTCTATAGTATAGTCTAGTTTATAGTCTAGGCTATAGTCTAGTCTATAGTCTAGTCTTTAGTCTAGTCTATAGTCTAGTCTATAGTCTACTCTATAGTCTAGTCTATAGTGTAATCTATAGTCTAGTATATAGTCTAGTCTATAGTCTAGTCCATATTCTAGTCTATAGTCTAGTCCATATTCTAGTCTATAGTCTAGTCTTTAGTCTAGTCTATAGTCTAGTCTATAGTTTAATCTAGTCTATAGTCTAGTCTGTAGTCTAGTCTATAGTCTAGTCTATAGTCTAGTCTATAGTCTAGTCTATAGTCTAGTCTATAGTCTAGTCTATAGTCTAGTCTATAGTCTAGTCTATAGTCTAGTCTATAGTCTAGTCTATAGTCTAGTCTATAGTCTAGTCTATAGTCTAGTCTATAGTCTAGTCTATAGTCTAGTCTATAGTCTAGTCTATAGTCTAGTCTATAGTCTAGTCTATAGTCTAGTCTATAGTCTAGTCTATAGTCTAGTCTATAGTCTAGTCTATAGTCTAGTCTATAGTCTAGTCTATAGTCTAGTCTATAGTCTAGTCTATAGTCTAGTCTATAGTCTAGTCTATAGTCTAGTCTATAGTCTAGTCTATAGTCTAGTCTATAGTCTAGTCTATAGTCTAGTCTATAGTCTAGTCTATAGTCTAGTCTATAGTCTAGTCTATAGTCTAGTCTATAGTCTAGTCTATAGTCTAGTCTATAGTCTAGTCTATAGTCTAGTCTATAGTCTAGTCTATAGTCTAGTCTATAGTCTAGTCTATAGTCTAGTCTATAGTCTAGTCTATAGTCTAGTCTATAGTCTAGTCTATAGTCTAGTCTATAGTCTAGTCTATAGTCTAGTCTATAGTCTAGTCTAGTCTAGTCTATAGTCTAGTCTATAGTCTAGTCTATAGTCTAGTCTAGTCTAGTCTATAGTCTAGTCTATAGTCTAGTCTATATTCTAGTCTATAGTCTAGTCTATAGTCTAGTCCATAGTGTAGTCTATAGTCTAGTCCATAGTGTAGTCTATAGTCTAGTCCATAGTGCAGCCTTTAGTCTAGTCCATAGTGTAGCCTTTAGTCTAGTGTATAGTCTAGTCTATAGTTGTGTACATAGTCTAGCCTTTAGTCTATTATATAGTCTAGTCTATTGTCTACTTATTTTTAAAGAAAATTCTCTTCCCTTTTACATTCATCTCTTATTTTTCACTACTTTTTCAATATTTTCTTAAAGAAAATTTTAAAAGTAGTTTAATACCTTTAAAGCTTTTAAAAAAAGCTCTTTTCTTAAACAAATTTTCACCAATTCTAACGCTTAAAATTATATTATTAGATATTTAATTAAGTGTTCATTTGTATAAAATGTGTATTTAAATACTAAATATACTGACTGGCTTAATAATAATAAATATGTATATAAAAATTAAATTAAAAAATTAAATTAAAAAAGAAATTAAATAAAATAAAAATTAAATTAAAAAAAAGCTTAATGTTAAGCCTAGTAAAATATATAATTATATTAAAGAAAAGCTTAGAAGGAGTTTAATTTACAAAAAGTTTGAGTAAAAATAATGAGCTTATCGTATTAAGAGAGTTAGAGAGTAACTTATTTTTGTGGCAATTTTTTTCTTTCTTCTTAATTACTAAATATTTATAATACATCTGTTAGAGAGCTTTTATTATTTATACATTCTTACAATTTTGTAGCTTTTCTTTTGCTTAATAATATAAAAAAAAGCTAAAAGCTTATAATTTGTTATAGATTCTGTTTGTTTTTTATTAAAGATATTTTTTTTTTTCGTTTTTTCTTGAATATTTGTGTTCTGTTTTTAATGTAAAGTTCGTTTAATGTCTAAAAAAAAGGAAATACAAATATTTTATAAATTATTTTTATATTAATACTTATCGATTTTGTTAAAAGAAAAGCTTTCTAAAGTTAATAAGGATCATACATTGCGAAAAAGAAAAGTTTGATAAAGCTTTGATTCGATTTTTGAAATCACTTTTCTTAGGAAAAGTTTACCGGATTCTGAGAAACTTTTAATTAGAAAAGTTTTTCCAGCTCTGAGCAACTTTTTGCTAGAAAAGTTGTTCAAAATCTCAGCAACTTCTTACTAGAAAAGATGTTCAGATTTTAAGCAACTTTTTACATGAAAAGTGATTCACACTTTTACTAGAAAAGTTGTTTGGACCCTGAGCAACTATATACTACAAAAGTTGTTCAGATTTTGAGCAACTTTTTACTAGAAAAGTTGTTCAGATTCCGAGCATTTTTTTACTAAAAAAGTTGTTTAGACTCCAAGCAACTTTTTACATGAAAAGTTCTTTAGATTATAGGCAACTTTCTTGCTACAAATGATGACCAGACTCTGAGCAATATTTTACCAGAAAAGTTGTTTACACTCTGAGCAACTTTTTACTAGAAGAGTTGTTCTTATTTTGAGCAACTTCCACATTCAGAGCAACTTTTTACTAGAAAACTTTTTAGAAAAGTTCAGGTTCAGAGAAACTCTTTACTTAAGGTTCTGAAAAAGAGCTTTAAAAGCTTTAGCAAAGATCCTTTTTGAAAAAATATTAATTCGTTGACTGTATGCAGTCGCAAATGATCACTCCCGCCTTAAGACTTTGGAGATAGCTTGAGTCTTAGGAGCATTTTTCTTAAATAATTCTTCTGTATCAAATAAAACTTTTTTAAGTCTTATGTTTAAGCTTATCTAAGCTTTATAAATTAACTTTTTTTGTTTCATAAATTTTATGAAAATTGAAAAAAAAAAATCATAATTAAATATAATTAATAAGTATTGGCTTGTTCTTGTAACTACATTAGTAAATAATTATTATGTTTTAGTTTTAAAAACTCACAACTTTAGTTTTAGCGGCCTATAAGAGAGGAGAGACCCCTTTTCTCCTTAATATTTCCTTAAACCAAATGCGCGGTACCAGGTTCCATTTTATAGCCCATTAAATGATAAGGAGCCTCACCAAATTGCGCTGCACTAGGACTATCGGCACGTTTAATTTGAGCCAAAGCTTGAGACATAACAGCGGCTGCATTGGCGGCGGCTGCTGCTCCAGACATATTTAAACCAGACATAGCACCTCCGGTATTGGAAGCACCCCGGCCACGTTTACGTTTGGGTAAAATGCCTTTGCGTGCCATATAGAAACGTATTGTGGAAACGGGTATATTAAACATATTACTAACCGTTTGGAAGGTCTGACCTTTGGACACACATTTGGCCGCCTGTTCTAAAGACTCTTCCGAACGGCGTATGCGCCTAAGGGAGCAGTTATTATCCATAGATTGTAGCATAGAGTTATTGGCGGTGGAATCATGTTCTGAATCAGCCATGGCACCACCAAAACTATCATCCTCATCATGGGCCACGTAGTTATGATCTTCTTCGACAGTGGAATCCATATGATGAGGCATTAAGTGGCCGGTGGGTGGTGCTGACGTGGCTGTATTGGCATTTTGACTATTTTCATAGTGTTCATAGGCATTTGAAGTGGATTCATCGCCAGAGTCATTAGGGGCAAATGTAGAAGCAGCCACGGCCGCCAAAGCCAAAGGATTTCTCATTATGGTTTTAAGATTAGCAGGATTTAAAACTTGTAGATTTTGTGAAAGTGTTGAGTGATTTGAAGAGTGTGATGGTGTGCTGGTGGGTTCCTTTTTAATAACAATTTGCTGTTGTTGCTGCTGTTGCAGTTGTTGTTGTTGCTGTTGTGCTGCATTTGTCTGTATAGTACTGGCGGCTGTGGCGGTTGTAGTTGTTGTAGAATTAGTGGCTGTATCCTCCTCATCTTCATTACTATCCGCCGTTGTATTGGAGGCCATATTGTTGTTATTATTATTGTTATTAGAACTTGCCACATTAACCTTGCCACTCATGGCTTTCAGCTGATTAAGATTTAGAGCAGCATCCGAACCATACAATCCTCTGATGCGCAACTGTTCGGCACATCTTAGCAGTTGCGGCAAACCTGCCTGGGTAACATTTACCTCACCTTTATACATAAAATCCACCAAGGCCTGTATCTCCCATAACTTAATTTCTGAGGGTAAAATAATGACAGGATGTTTACAGGGATTTTCCGCCAAAATACTTTCAAAATAGGAAGAACAGGCAGCCAAAACTAAACGATGACAATGCACCTGATGTCCTTCACAAGCTAATGTGACATCTACAAAACGTTGACCGGCTAAAAGCTGGGGAAATGCTGCTCCTATACTGCCCAAATGACTGTTCCAGCGTACACAAAACTCCTGGCGATGTGAAGGTGTCATTTTGCTCGCGACCACAATGTGCTGGAGTTTTCCTTGTTATTCGTAAAGAAATTAAAAGTTTATATCGTTTTAAAATAGAAGACTAGTTTTGGAAGATTTGTTGTTTCGTTTTTTCTCGTTTTTGTTGTTGTTGCTAATATTTGCTTAATTCAGTCCAGCAAACGGAAGTTTTTTAACAAAGTTTGAAAGAGTTTATATTAAATTACCTAAAATGAAAGAAAAAACAGAAGTATCAATATAAAACCCTTAAAATTTATAAAAACTAAAATTTTCAAACTAAATTTTTAAATTAAGAAATTATTTTAAAGGTTATGTTGAAAAATTTCGTTAATAAAACCAATAAAAGAGGAATTAAAACTGTCAAGGGTTGCAAAACTTATAAGCAATATAAAACAGTTTTCATTTTTTACATAAACCTTATAATAAAAAAACTAACTTTGAGGTTAGGTTGAAAAATTTTGTTAAATATTAAGATTTTTTTAAAAATTAAAGCTGTAAGCTGTTGCTTGATTAACAAGTAATAAAATTAAATAAAAATTTGCTTAAAAATTCTCTAAATTTTGAGGTTAGTTTTTCTAAAATTATAAAAATAATTAAATACGCCAAGTATTTACAACTGTCAAATTGTATCAAAATTGTTTAGATTTAAGTGAAGTTCTAATGTTTCAATTCTAATTAAAATAAACAAAAATAAATTTGAGGTTATGTTGAAAATTTGGCTTAAACATACGAATTTTTTAAAAATTAAAACTGTAGTTTAAATTTTTCATAAAAAGGAGTGGACAATGTTTAAAAATTTTAAATTTAAAGCTAAATTTCAGAAATTAAATTTGAGGTTAGTTTGATTTTTTTTTTTTTTTTTTGATTTCTCAAGGAATTGTTAATAAAATATTAAGTGAAGTTAAAAGCTATAGGTACCTAGGTATAAGGGAAAAGTTTAGTTTAAAAGTGTCTATTAATTTAGAAATAATATATTTTTTTTAAAGTTTGGAGGGAATTTGAAAATCTTAGCAACGGAAACAAGAAAAATATTATATTTTATGAAAGAAGTGGGTTTTATGTGCCTATTTTAATTAAAATTATGCTAAAGTTTTAAAATTTTTAGTTAGGTTTTATTTTTGTAAGGTTTTTTAAAATAGTTTTGAAGTCTTTTAAGAACAAAGAAACTTATTTGCATTTGTTTTGAATTAAACGTTTAATTTTCAAGAAAATTTTCTATTAGTTACATAAAAAACCTTGATAAATATTAAACCCCTAAGGATCATTAATGAGTTTTGTTATAAAAATGATTCATTATTCGTATAAATAGTAAAATTTTGTAATAAAACCAAATTAATCTTACACATACACAAGTTTATTATAGAACAACTTCAGAAAAAAGGAATAGTAAAGAAAATCTATAATAAATATACTTTTTAGACACACTCTACTTTATTTTATTAACAATAATTATTATACTCCGTCTTGTATTTTAAACAAATGACGCCAGGAAGACACAAAGACAAATACTAAAAGGTAATATTGAAAATTTACAGCAGTCGCAGCAGCAGCAACAACAAAAAATAAAATAATAATAAAAAGAATAATAACAACAACAACAAAATATACCACATAAAAATACTGCAGAAAAATAGCTTAAAAGAACAATTTTTGAACACTGTACTTAATATACAATATAAAAAAAGAATTATTATAAAAAAAAAAACAAACAAAAACAAGGAGAAGCAGCAAAAAAAAAAACTAAAAATTTACACTTATACATTTAACATAACCTACACACGGATTTTGCTCAAACATACACACACACACTTAGGCACAAACATATAAATAAACTAAAAACAAAAACTAAAAAAAAAGTTAATAACAAAAAAACAAGAAATCCTCAGGAAAATATAATAAAAAAAAAAAACATTAAGAACAACAACAACATAAAATGTTGTTGCTGTTTGGTATAAACATTTTAAGAGCCTTTAAAAAAAAAAGTATCAACGAATAAGAAGGAGAGATGCTTAAAATGACAGAACACAGGAGTGAGTGAGAGGTTAAATAAAATAAAAACATAAAAATTTAACAAACAAAAAAAGGAGCTTGCTTGTGTTTTTATACAACAACAACGTGAAAAAATTAAACATTTATTATAATATTCCTTGTTGTTTTTCTTTTTTTTTCTGCACAATAGCAAAATATATAAAATACAACAACAAAAATAATAACAGAGAGCGAGAGCAGCTAGCAAGAAGAGCAAGAAAATAAACAAACAAGGCAAAAAAAAAACAAAACAAGATTCTTAACAGTGTTACCATAAGGTTAAAAATATAGGAATATAAAAGGAAATAAACTAAGCGCAAGTTTGTGTTTAGAAAAATTTCTCAGTAACGTTTTTATTTAGATTCTGAGCAACTTTATGTTGGAAAACGTCGATTCAAAGAAGAAACTTATTAAACAAGAAACAAATGTATGTTTTTTGAAAAGTTGGTAAATTTCTAAGCAACTTTTAGTTAGAAAAGTTGATCAAATTCTGAGCAACTTTTTGTTAGAAAAGTTTATCACCATTTGAGCCAATTTCTATTAGAAAAATCGATCACCATCTGAGCAAATTTCTATTAGAAAAATTGATCACAATCTGAGCAAATTTTGATTAGAAAAATTAAACAGATTTTATTAGAAAACATTATCAAATTTTAACAGCTTTTTGTTAAACAACTTCATCAGATTCTTCGCACCTTTTTGTTAGAAATGTTGATCAGATTTCAAGTAACATTTTGCTGCAGAAGTTAATCGGATTCTGAGCAACTTTATGTTAGAAATCTTCGTCGCTTTTAAGAAGAAATTGAAAATATTCTCAATAACTTTAAAATTCTAAACAACATTTTGTTAGAGAAGATGATCACAATCTGAGTAACTTATTTTTAGAAAACTTGAGCAGATTCTGAGCAAATTTTTACTAGAAAAGTTGATCAGATTCTGTGTAACTTTTTGTCAGAAAATTGTATCATATTTTAAACAATTCTCAACATAAACATTGACCAGTTCAAGACTAGGGTAACACTGCAATTTACACTACTATTAACTGAGAGTGTATCCGGAAAGTGTGGTATACAAAATGGAATTGAACCAGCAAAGTAGTGTATTAATAGAGAATAGCTAACCTTTGATTACAATTACGAACGCCAGCGACAAACGTTAAACTACAGGACATGATTTTAGATTTAATATAAACAATACAAAAAGCTAAATTATTTTAAGAATTTTATTATTTAAGATTTTTTTACTCAATAATACTCCACTTTAATAAAATGTTAAAGAAAAAAAGTTGTGGAAATATTATATACTTTTTTATAAATCCCTTAAAAGGTTTAACTTTTTACTTTAACACTAAAATTTATTAAATCGTTTTGTCGTCTGTATCGCCAATTGTAAACTAATTATATATATTGCGAAAAAAAATTCTAAAGTCTACTTGTGCGACCGCATGTAGACAGGAAATAAGCAAGAAAACGTAAGAAATAAAGAACAATTTTTTTTTTTCGCTTAAAATATATATTTTTTTCTGTGCTAATATTACTGCTGGTATATGGTATTTATACATATACAACTTGCCCAGGAGAGTGGAGGTTTAAAACAAATTTTTATTGTCATATACAATTTTCAAGATATTTTTTTGTTGCAAAATTTTTAGTACATTTATTTGGCTCTTCAAAGTTTTTAAACTTTAATTAGAAATTAATTAGTTGGGTGGGGTATTTAATATAATGCAGATACTTTTTTTCCACAAAGAGCGAAAGTTGGGGGATTTTTTCTATATTAAAGTAATTAATGCAGTTTGTTGTTGATGAGGGTTTGAGAATAAAATATGGACACAAAGAAATTATGGACAAATTTCTTTGTTTCATTAAAATAAAGTTCGTGGGGATGCTTTTCTTCTTCATATCATGGCAAAAATAACGTAATGTTAAGATTTTTTTTTGCATATTTGACTAAAACAGATAAATCATAACAAAAATTGCTTCAAAATGAATGTATTTTTAAGATTTAAGAAGATAAATTAAAAAAACAATAATTTTTTTAATAATATGTTAAATTTTAAAAAATTATAAAAATAATTTCGAAAAAATGTCTATTTATAGGAATTAACTAAAAATTAAAACTGACAAAATTTGCTAATAAAATGTAGTACCCAAAGCAATTTTAATTTTTCATTTTAATCTTTAATAGCAAATTTCAACTTTAAGGTTAGGTCGAAAAAAATCCTTAAACATTAACATTTTATTAAAATGAAAACTGTTTTAAGGCGAAATGTTAAATTTTTAATTAAATTTGAGGTTATGTTTTAAAAAAATTGCCTAATAATTTATATTTCATAAAATTTAAAACTGTAAGTTAGGTCTTTTAAGGTGAGAAACATAAAGCCATTCGAATTTTGAATTTATACTTTAAATTTCAAAAACTTAACTTGAGTTTTGTTAAAAAATCAATTTAATCAATTTAAAATTAGTTTAATACTTTAAATTTAAAGAAAATAAAAACTGTCAAATGTTTGTAACTTTAGGGAGGGCATCATGGTATTTTTATTTTCAAATTTAATTCAAAATTATAATATCAAACTTTGAGGTTAGGTTGAAAAAGTTGCTTAAAAATTAATATTTTTAGGAAATATTTATTGACAATAGCACTCGTAGTTTAATAACTATTAACTACCACAAAAATTTCATATAAAAAACAAAAAAATCAAAAATTAACTTTGAGGTTAAGTTTAGAAAAATTTTAAAAATTAAAATACCTATTTCTTTACTTGAAGTTTCTTAACATTTTTGTATATTTTAGATTTGTTAGAAAGTTTTTTTTATGAAATTTTCTTATTTTTGTAATAAATATGTAGTTATTTATTTTTAAACACACCCATACCCATAAATTATAATAATTAGATTTTTTCCTTACGTTTTTTTTTTGTGGTACTGCGCGCGTCCTTTATAATTTTAGTTTGTTTATGTGTGTGTGTAGTAGTAAATTTTATTTCTTTGTTTAATTGAAAATCGTTAAAATATAACAAAAAAAAAAAAGAAACATTTGTAAATAACAAAAAAAAAAACATACTTCAAGTTAAACATAAAGAGCGGGGAAATAATATTATAGAAAAAAATAACACACTTGCCAAAAAAATATAAAAGAGATGCCACATAAACGAAATAAACAAGATAAAAATTGGGGAAAAGGACTTGACAGTTACTATAGGAGAAAAAATCAACATATATGAAAGAAATTTTAACAAAAAGGATTAATTACTGATAGAATTTTACTTAAATTACTTTCAAATTTCATAAAAAATAACAAATTTTAGCTTTAAGTTTGTTAAGTTTAGGTTAATGAGTAAATTTTTTTTAAATTCTGGGAGTTGGGCTGTGTTTTAGAGGAATTTTCTTTAACACTAAAGTAATTAGTAATTTTTAACAATGTGGCAGCCTGATTTATAACATTGCCACTCATTCGCTCATTTCAACTCAATGTTTGGTACTCACTCTCCCTCTCTGCCATTGCCATTATTCGCTGAAACGCTATGAAATTACTGGAACATAACATCGCGCAAAAAAAAAAGAAAAACAAAACGAAGAAGCAGCAAAAAACAAACAAAACAAAAACTCTAATAAAAACAAAAGGAGTATTTGTTGTTTTTTTTTCAATGTATTTGTGAGAACTACTACTATTTTAATAAATTGCTTGCTGTTAATGAAGAGCACAGAAAAAGATATGCAAAATCTAACAACAAAAACCAACTGAAAAAGAAGCAAGACAATAACAACATCAAGGCAGGAGACAAAAAAAGAAGTATCTTTTTGTTTGAGTTTTATTTTCCTACTTAAATGGGGGGTCATTACTAAAAATGGATGCTAAAAATGGTTTATTAAACAGGAAAATATTAAGTAATGGATAGCCTAACAAAGCTTACAATTAAAAAGATTTGTATAAAAAAACTTTTTAATTTGTAAAAGATTTTTGCCTTGGTTTTAACTTACCCTTTTGTCTTTTAATTTTGTTAATAATTATAAAATGTTTGACTTTTGTGTTTTTCTGATAATTTTGTCACTTTTCTAATGTTTTCTCTTATATAAACTTAAAATTTCTTTTATTTTTTAAATTTAAGGTTTTATTTTGTAAAATTTCCTTTTTTAACTCAAATTTTAAAACAAATCACTATAAAATTATTGATTTTTCTCTTAATATAGTTTCTTTCTTTATGTATTACCAGTATATTATTTAATTACACACGCGGTCTTTCGAGTCGTTCGCTCCTTTTTCGCGTCGCACTATTGTTAAAATGTTTAACAAAAAATCTTCTTCATTTTCACAACGTTTACTTAAATTTTTTGTTTGTTTTTTGTTGTTGTTGGCTGCTTGGCGTTTTCTTGTTGTTTCTTTTTCTTTTGCACAATTTTTCATACCAACAACAGCAACAACAAGCAGCAGCTCTCTTGCATTTTGTTTATACTTCTAGTTCAATTTGTTCCTTTATTTACCGCAAGCGCGTTCTATTCTAGTTTGTTTCCAACGAAAATAGTGTTATCAATATACAAAACAAGAAACTCGCTACAATTTTTGAAAATAACGTTAAAATATCAAAATAAAACCCCAAATTGGCCACACTGCTATAAACAGTCAATCACAAAGTTGCCAAAAATTGCTAAACTGCATTATTATAGAGATGCCATATTATGTGCTATAAAAATCGCTTAATTTTAATAATATCTAGGGTTTTTTGGAAAAATTTGAGAATGTATATTAAAAAAGATTTAATTAAGGAAAACAGATTTAATTAAAGAAAAAAATTTCGTAATTCAAAAACTTTTTTTTGCTGAAGACTACTACACATTGTCATTAATAGAAAATTTAACCAAAAGTATTCAAAATTGTTGGTTTTAAGTTAAAAAATTTCGTTTAAAATTAAATAAAAATTGTTATAGAAATAAAGAATAAACAAAACAAATTATAAAAAATTAAAACTGAACCCTAGGGCGTTCGTTAAAAAAAAAAACTCATTTAGCTTTAAATTGCATTTATTTTTAGGCGAAAAACTTAAATTCTTTGTAAAACTAGCAGAAAACTACAATAAATTACTTAATTTTTTATAAAATATACAAATTAAAATTGTCTCTCTCAGTTTGTGGAATGTTTCATCATCTGCCCAACTTGACGGGTTTTATATTGGCCTCACCATGATCCGGTAGTAATCTCTTAAATGTACCCACACAAGTATTTTTCAAAATTTGTTGTTTGGAGCGTTTCACACACTCATCATAGTAGCATTTCTCTACATTATGTAAAAATTCTATTAATAATTTATTGTCTCCCCCATTGGGACCCACATAGAGGTCACATTCCAAGCTGGAAGCTTTTAAATCGCGCACACAGCAGTTGAGGAAATCCGGATTGGCAGAAAACCATGTATTCAAACGTTGCAAAGGAATGGCTAAAGGTTCACGTAGTATGCCAGTCACCCAGGTATCGTCTATCCAGAATATAGGGGATTTGGTTGCTTGTTCCACTAATCTTAAGGCTGTTTGGGGATTAGTGATGTACAACCAACCGGACAAATAATCGGGATAAACATTGCCCGCATATTCTTGCTGGGAAACATACCATTTATTGGCCTGCAAACGTATGACCGGTTTAGAGTCTAATATATAGCCTGCCAATAGTTCGGAGGAGGTGGTCAGTTTGGGATTTTCCAATTCCAAAGCATCTAAATAACGTTTTACTTGGAATATATCGTAGACAATATCATCATCTATTTTTATAATAAATCTAGCTTTTCGGCATTCGGTGGCCGACCACTTTAGACCCATTATATGTTTGTAGCTCAGATTTCTATAGGCCTCCTTAAAATTGCCCTGCAATAGATCACCAAACCTTTGTTGCTCATTTTGTAATTGCGACTGCGTTATAAAATGTTCTCTCTCCGGTACAGAAGCCAAGAGAAATACTCTTTGTATACCCAAATCGGAAAGTTTTGCCTGGGAAATGGCTTGACGATGGGCGGAACGCAGTTCATCATGACCCGCATAAGAGGTAACTATTAAAATAGCTAAAACCACCATAAATTCCTTATTATTTAAATATTTTACTTTAATATTTTATTAAACTCACCCAATAATTCCTTTTTATACGAATGGCACAAACGATTTTCTATTAAATACTTAAAATTTGTTAAATTCAGCAATTTGGGGGCAATTTCTGTTGGTGGCTGCGTCAGTTCTTGTGAATTTTCTTTAATTATTGTTATAAATTCGTCGGCAGCAGGTTGTTTTGCTAAAGTATATAAAAATATAATTAAAATTACGATTGAGGCCCCCAAAAGGGTTAAGAGTTTATTAAAAACTTTAAAGCGCAGGCGCATTTTGTTTTAATTTTCCCTTTTTACAAAAATAAAATTTTCTGATAACAAAAAACGTAAACAAAGGCAATTTACTATTAACCCCTAAATGGTCAAAAACTATTGATGTAAGTAAAACTAGTTTATTAAAATTAAGTTAAACAAAATTTAGATTTTCAACAAAATAGCTAAAATATTTGATATTCATCCCTATTTCTTGTTAAAAAAATGATTGAATTTGTTGTTATTATAAAAAAATAGTTTTATTAAAAACGACACACCGTTTAAAGGTTAATTAACTAAGCTAACCTGCCTGTTTTAACAAATCAAAACAATAACAATAAAAAGAAGCATAAATGACACACGAACAAAATGTAAACATAACATAGAGTTACCGGAGGTTAATCAAAATGTGTAGCAAAATAGCAGTTTTTTAAATTTAAAATTTTTAAAGATATTTACTCAAAAAAATTTCATAAATTAACAAAACTCTAATAAAAATTAACAGCAATATTATGTTAAGATTTATTTAAACAAAAATTCTTAAATAAAATATTTATGAAAAAATCGCTTAAAAAACTACAATTAGTTTTTATAAATAAATAAGAAATTACTGCAGCTTAGCTGAAATTGCTAATGGTAATCAATAGTTTATAAAAATACGAATAAATTTATACGTAGTTATTTTTTTAGAAAACCACATTTATCCACAATATCGCTGTAAACTTGGATACAGAAAAAAACGCCAAAAATGAACTATACTTTTTTATAACAAAAACATAAAATTGAGCAAATTTTTATTCCGTTTATGGAATCAGCTCTAATCTATTGTAGGGCATTCAAAACTCTTTGCAATTGACTAATATTGTTCACCTTTCCACCCTTTAAAACAAAATATTATTAAATTTTTTTTAGCAAATCACTAAAAGCTAATAACCCAGTTTTTTCGTCAGCACCTAAACCAACAGCTGTTTTAAACAACTCTGTCTTCTTTACTGCCATATGTGTTTTTAGTGGCTGTAGTTTTAAGTAATTTTTATGCAACTATTTTTACAAGCATTTCTTTTGTAAAAATTCTTAATTTATCAAATAAAAAACATGAGTTTCCTTAACAAAGAAGAACGAGCCAAATGCTGGGGACATCGTGATGAATACTGGAAATGTTTAAGTGAAAATGCACCACAACATAGTTCGACATCGGGTGAAAAAGTACCGGATGCCTGTAAAAAATTGCGCAAACTTTTCGAGACCAGTTGTCCGTCGACCTGGGTAAAACATTTCGATCGTAAACGTACCTATGAACAATTTAAGGAGAAAATCCAACAGGGCTATGATCCTTTAGATGAAAAGGCACAAAAGACGGGACAATAAGTCCAAAAATTATTGTATAAGAAAAGCTATTGTTAATATGTTGATGTTTTCTAATAATTTAATAAAAAATCTATATTATACATAATAAGATTTGTTTATTATTATTTCTTAAGCAGCATACACTTCCTCCTTGGGCATATCCACTGATACGGAGACTATATGTTTGCCGGGTATCATAACATTACCTAAAATACGAGCATCTTTACCATCCTCTAGAAATTCTACACACATGGATAGTACTATATTGGCATCTTTGTCGGTACAATTAAAGAAACCCACCAGAACACGACCATCGGTTATTACCACACGAAAAGGTTTGCCTAACCATCTTCGAAGATTACGGCGTCCCGGGGACAGATTTTTTTCATTTACATTGCGGGCATTGGTGATGACATTATTGAGTAAATGATTCTACAAATATTTAACAATTAATAAAGATTTTTTTGGATTTTAAGAACTCACTTCATAGGGCTTATTGGTGTTGTCGGTATCACTCATAATTTTCCAGGTCTTTTGTTTAAATTTTTAAGAAAATTAAAAACTTTTTTGTGTATTTATCAGGTGTAGTTATTTTTGTAAACATTGGATCAAAAACAGAGTTGTCATTTAGAATAATAACAATACATTCACTGGGAATGATGAGCTTAAAAGTTAACATTGGAGCCAAAAGTTGTTTACCTAATTTTTTTCTTTTATATATTTTATACAAATTATTTAAAATTGTAAAGTTTAATTCATATTTTTTTACGAAAATTGTGTATTTTTATAAATTTGAACAATTTTTTAACAAATTTTTTACGTTGTTCACCCTTTATATTTAACAGAGCGCGGTAAATGTTATTTACAGTAATGACAACTCTTTGTTAATGTAAACCCGCTGATTAGGAAAGATTTATAAAAATTATAGCTTTTAAAGAAAATTTTTAGTTTAAATCTATTAATTAATTCAATTTTTCTTTGAAAAAGTGTTAGAGATACAAAATTTAAATAAATTAGTAATTTTTATATATAAAAACAAGAATATTTATTAAGTGCTTAAAAATCGCTTGTTATTTATAACACTAATTAAATTGTTAACACTGCCGTTACTTATCATTTGTTTATTTTTTATTACCCCCCAACAAAAGTGGCCGGTTTCTTAATACCTCTTCAAATAATTGTGCAATTTTGTAAGTTAATTGTTCTAGAAATAGAAAAAAATGTCTGAAATTGTATTTGCTGTTATAACAGGTAAGATTTTTAATTAAAAACATTATTTTCAATGTAACAAAGCGACTTAAATGATCAATTCTTTAGTAAGTGACACTTGTCATCAAGATGCCACCAAAGATCGCAGTGGCCCGCGTTTAGTTCAATTGCTAACAGAAAATTTTGATAATTGTCGCGTTTTAAAGGAAATTTTGCCCGATGAGCAAGATTTAATAACACAAAAACTAAAACAATTAGTTGCTTTGGAAGCTCAGGTTTCTTGTATTCTTACTACTGGAGGTACGGGCTTTGCTCCCAGAGATGTTACTCCGGAGGCTACTAAGGCAGTCATAGATAAAGAATGTCCTCAGCTTGCTATGGCTTTGGCCATACATTCCTTGCAAAAGACTAAATTTGCCGCCTTGTCACGTAGCGTGTGTGGCATTGCCGGCAAAACTTTGATTTTGAATTTTCCCGGCAGTGAGAAGGCGGTAGTGGAATGTTTTGATTATGTTAAGGATTTACTGCCACATGCTTTGCATTTACTTAACAATGAATTGGCCTTAGTGAAAAAAACGCATGAACAAATACAAAACCAAACGCAGCAGGCAGTCATTCCTCCTGCCCCCTCAAAAGGTCACATTTGTCCCCACAAAACTGGCAAAGGAGATGACAACGATCGTAATTCTCCCTTTCCCATGTTACCCGTTAATGAAACCTTGAATATTATACTGCAAACCATAAAACCTCAAGCTACTTTGCCACAACTGCTCAAAGATTTTAAATCGCCGGTGGATATACCACCTTTTAGAGCTTCCATAAAAGATGGATATGTCATGAAATCTTCGGGTTTCTCAGGCTCTAAAAAGGTTTTGGGTTATATAGCTGCCGGGGATTCGGTTATAGAAACTGATTTCCAAGAAGATGAATGCTATAAAATTAATACCGGAGCCCCAGTACCTTTAAAGGCAGACTGTGTTATACAAGTGGAAGACACTAAACTACTAAAAACCAAGAAAAATGGTTTGGAAGATTTGGTTGAAATATTAGTGGAGCCCAAAAAGGATTTGGATATCAGGTATGGAAGCAAACAAAAACAGTTTTAAAAAATTTGATAAAAATTCTTGCTTTCCAGACCTATCGGCTGTGATTTGGCCAAAGGTTCTAGCCTATTCCCTAGTGTTGATCTATCACCAGTGGTGGTTAAGTCCCTAATGGCTTCTGTGGGTCATGCAGTGCCTTTGCATAAACCTTTAGTGGCTGTAATTTCAACGGGCAGTGAGTTATTGGATCCTCAAGATTATCCTATAGAAGGAAAAATCTATGATTCCAATACCACTATGCTGAAGCAGCTATTACAATATTTTGGTTTTGATTGTGTGGTCACTAAAGTGTTAACGGACAAGTAAGTATGATAAGATAAGTAAAAGAATGACTAGGCAAAATTTTGATTAGATTAAAAATAGGAAACAAAGGAAAGATTTATGATGATTGTTGTAGAAACAAGAATTTGAAAAATTTTAATTTCTTTAAAAAGATCTTGATTAGATTAAAAAAAGAAAACAAAGCATAAATTATTGAAGAATTTCTATTAAATTTTTGTTATTTTTCCAAAAAATTTTTATGTTAAATTTTTTCATATTAATTTTTAACAATTTTCTCTTTTAAAATATCCTATAGTTTCGATGAAGTCTACGAAACTTTAACCTCCATCTATGATGAAGTTGATTTTGTTATCTGCAGTGGTGGTGTATCCATGGGAGATAAAGATTACATTAAGCCTGTATTGCAAAAATTAGGCTTTAATCTGCAAGTTGGAAGAGTTAACATGAAACCGGGGTAAGTTTGAAAAAAAACCTACTTCAATCTACTTAACTTTTTTACTCATAAAATCTCTTCTTAATTTTCAGTAAACCCATGACTTTTGCTTCCAAAGACGATAAATATTTCTTTGGTCTACCCGGTAATCCTGTTTCGGCCTTTGTTTGTTTCCATATGTTTTCATTGCCCGCCATACGCTGGGCTAGTGGCTGGACTTATGAAAAGTGTATGCTGCCAGTTGTACAAGTAACGGTAAGTACAAATTTTTCCTAAGTTTACATCTCATTACAATCAAATATCATTACGTATTTTCAAACATACCTATTAAAACGCAATTAAATTTTGAGCTCAATAATTTGTAAGGTACTACACTTCTACACAATCTTGATACATTTAGTGTAGAAAACACTAAAAATCTCCAGAACCGTAATCGCGGTTTTGAAAATCGATAAGTTTTTATGTTTAGTGTAATTCGTTGACGGAAAGTAAGAGTTAATTACTCTGCTGTATTGTGGGACAAGGATTATTTGCCGGCAAATAATTCATCCATAGGTGGCCAACGTAGGGGCATTTCCAAGGAACCCAAATGTACCTTATAATGGCTGTGGTTACATCATGCCACATAAAAATCCACTTGGAAGTAATTCTAAGGCTGTACAAACTTCCAAGAACGAAAAACTCAAACATAGCACACCATTAGAATCCTGAAAGCCTCGGATTATTAGATTGATACTAATCTATAGGAATAAGATGGAATATGGGTCCGAGAGTTTTAATTAATTGAAAACGGAAACCCCGCTAAAGAAGGACTTTTACCAGGAATCTCTGGAATACTTTTAGTCTGAAGTAACTATAGTTTTATCTTCGAGTAAAAATAATTGGAATTGACAGGACTTAAATTAGCAGAGTGCGTATGAGCAGACTATCCTCGAGGCAATTGGGTTGAATTCAACACTGTTAGTCATGTCTCTAAAATCGACAAATAGGAAAGAAGGCGACAGAAGTTCTCGGAGTTGAAAGAGGATTCCTATCGACACTGCAATTTAAATTCTACTTCCTGAACCACCTGCATATGTTCATATGTTAAATTTTGCTTTTCTAAACTTCCTGAAACATTTTTGATACTATCCTAGACGGAGTTGACAGCTCTGTCTGAAGAACAAACTTGTCCAAACTGGTTCAAATTAGATGGTTTAGCTATATATTTTGATGCCTATATATGTCAAACTCACTGTTAAGCTTAAGTGGTGATAACTTCAGTGAAACCAGGCCTCTATATGATGTCCCTATGTCAATTAGCGGTTCTGGAGTGATCGCTACTATAGTCATAACGAAAAGGAAAAGGAGACTGTGTCTCATCTACACTACTACTGTCGACATTTACTGAGAGTAGGGAAGATTTCTTGGGTACTTCTTTTCTCTTAAATATGGAGGAACTATGCGGGATAATTCTCATCGTTATAATTGGAACTTAAATTAACCTTTAACAGCGAAATCAGAGTTTAGAGAGAGCTCTAGAGCAATAACACTAGTAAAGCAGAGATTCAGTTGGGAAATGTATTTTTATATCTTGCTGTTAACAAGAGATTCAATATCTGAAACTGTTGTCAGTTTTGGGCGTTTTTTTCTATTTTATAGGCAATTTTAATATTGTTCTCAATAAAAAAGTTAACTGTATGATTTCCTAAGTTATACAGTGCTTTTTTTGTTCCTGAGTTATACAGTGTTCTTGTGAAATTATGTTCTAAATCAAACAATTAACCATAACCAAATATTTCATTGGCAATTTTAATTTGTTCTTAATAAAGAAAATAAGTTATTTCAAGACATTATTTCTTATGATCTTAGTGATCAAGAAATTAACTGTGTGATTTGTGAAAGTTCCTTAGTTATACAGTGTTCTTGTGAAACTAAGTTCTAAAACAAACATCTAACCATAACCAAATATTTCATTGGCAATTTTCATTTGTTCTCAATAAAAGAAAATTAGTGATTCAAGGCATTATTTCTTGTGCTTTTAGTGATACAGTGACCTTGTGGAAGCCAGGGATTTGAAGTTTTATCTTCAACAACCTATAAATACACATTTCATGGGCAATTTTAATTTGTTCTCAATAAATATATAAAAGACTAAAACTTCAAGCAACATTTCTGTTCAACACATAACCTGTGTCATCTCTCTATAGTATAACATACAAATTGCATTAATTCATTCACCTTAATGTGCAACCAGTTTCATCCATTTATTCTTGACTTTGAAGCAAAACAAAAAAAAAAAAAACTTGCTACTCAACTTTTGTATGTTTTTCTATTTCTTTTCTTGTTGGTTGCGTACGCAGTTACAAAATCCTAATGTTGCATTGGATCCTAGACCGGAATATATGCGTGCTACTATAACCAGTAAAAATGGTCAACTATATGCTACAATAACAGGCAATCAGGTGGGTTTTCATAGCACCAAAAACTTTTTCGCCCTCCACTTTCAACAAATACTTCCATTTCATTGTATTTAATTAACCACAAACTATACTTTAATGTACTTAAACAATTAACAATACTTTCGCCTTTATTTATTACACTTGAATAGATGAGCAGTCGCTTGCAAAGTATTGTAGGAGCCGATGTACTGGTACATTTACCAGCACGCACCGCCACTAAAACAGAGGCCCATGCGGGTGATATACTGCCAGCCAGTGTATTGCGTTATGATTTCATAACGAAATACGAATGAAAGTTTGTTAAATTTTAAATAGTCTGCAGCTAATAACGTTTTTTTTTGGTTATGGGTATACAAATAGTTCGAATAATTTAATTTAAAATGTTCAAAACATTACCTTAGTTTTTTTTAATGAAAAAAAAAATATAATTGAAGTTGTAAAATTATTTTTTATTATTATTACAAGAAATTTATAAATTTCTTTTAAAAAAATTTAATATTAGAGTTTTATATAAAAAATAAACTTATATTTACAGTTCTTTTTTTTTTTTGCTTAAATTTTGTGGCCAATATTTGTTTTGTTCTTTCTTTGAGTAGTTTATAAAATAAAACGTTTAATATTAAACAAATTGGTAAAGTGTTAAAAAAAAAATAATAAAATATAATTTTTGATTATTTACAAAATTTCTTTGAAAAAAAAAAAAAAAATATTTATATAAACAAAGATTTTGTTAAACAAAATGATTAAACAAATTTTACACTACTTTCTCTCTCAATCTCTTTAAACTAATAAATTTCGAATTTTGCTATAGATTTTCGTGAAAATTTGAATTTTCTTTTAACAAAATCTTTGAGCAGAAAAAAAAAATATAAAAAGAAATTTCCAACCATGTTTCTTCTTTCGCTTAGACCCACACAAAACCCATGATTTTGCGGTTTAAAGTTATTTGTGTGTGTGTATGTGTGTTGCTGATGCGAATAGGCTGTATTCAAACACGTTGTACTTCTCCCTTGTTATGATGTTCCATTGGTTTCTTGACATTGGTGTTGTTAACATCAGAGCTCTTGTTTGTCAAACGTATCGAAGAACGACATGGCAACGCGAATTGATATTTATTAGAGGCCAACAATGAATAACGTTCATGAGGTGCTTGATCCCATAAAGCTCTCTCAACCACATGCAATGCACTGGGACTTAAAACATTGGCCGTATAGGTTGTGGGGGCACCGCTGGAGACTGGAGTTTTTTTTTTTTTGGTGACATAAAAAAAGGAAAAAGAGAAAAAAAAGCAGAGAAAAAAAAACATACAAATAGAAAAAAGTAAAATGAAATCAAAAGAAAAAATTGTTAATTTAAAGTTTTTCCTCTTCACTGAGTTTTTCATGGCATTTTCCATGTCTATATATGTTTATATATATATATAGCAAATCTCACTTACTTTGGGCGGTTGGTGGTTTATAGAGCGTCTCTGCATGCAAACCACAAGTATCTAAACATACAACACTAACACCAAACGGCTGCAACTCGCGGCGTAATTCTTGTACACATTTATCGGTGGCCACACGTGATACATTATAGGCTATTAGACCATCACCCTGACCTCCACTGGCGGCACCCAAATAAATCAAACGTCCGCGTGTAGGTCTTAAAAAGTCCACAAAAGCCTTGGCAATACGTAAAGAACCCAAGATATTGGTCTTAAACATTTGTTCCATTTGATACAATTCCTGCGATTCTATGCGTCCACGATAGAAAGTGCCACTGGTGTTAATAACAGCCGCTATACCCTGTTCGCCCACACTCAAATGTGAGCCCATGGTTTCGGTGGCCTCACGCAATACATCATCTTTGGTAACATCCAAAAGCATGGGTATAATAGTGCCCGAAACGGGTGCCTCGGTAAATTCACGCATTTTCAACCAACCTACTAAAAGTTTGGCGGGCAAACTGTCTACACCCTCACGCATACCAGCCACTACACGGCAGCCTTTACTGGCCAAATGGGTGCAGAGTTGTAGACCCAAGGCGGTATCGGCACTGGTCACTAGTACCGTATTCGATTTGACTTGTTCGGCTTTTTCGACATTGTCCTCGCGTACCTTGCAGATGAGATAGATGATAAGAGCTCCAGCAATGGAGAAGAGGGCCAAAAGTTGAAAGGCCAAGACTAGGGCAGTCATGGGTTCCATTATGACATCGCTGTAACAAGAAATAGGGGAGGGAAATTAAAGATTAGTTTTAGTAGTTCATAAGATTGCAAACATTTTTATAGTTTTACGATTTTTTTTTAAATTTTGATCTAACTATAGAGTTTAGTTTAAAGTAGATTTATATTTTTTTTTATTGCAGATTTGATTGAAAGACATCCAAAAATTGATAAATATAGTGAACATTTTGGAAAATTAGTGGATATTTGTGGAGAGATATTGTTGATAAAATTTGGCTGTATGATTGTAATAGAATGGGGTAAGTTTAAAATCTTTTTTAAACATTTTAATTCTAAGTTGAAAATACCGATAACTTAAGCTACAAATATTCCTTAATACGAGGAGCTCTAATAAGAAGTATTGACCCCTTGACCCCTTATATAAACCCTTTTAGTCCTGTAAATTTCAGTTGAAATCGATTCATACGTTTAGTAGTTTCGAAAATGTAAATTGGCAATTGCCCGGCACTTAACTTAGGGACCTTTTGTCTCAGCAGATCGTTAGATAGATAGATAGATAGATAGATAGATAGATAGATAGATAGATAGATAGATAGATAGATAGATAGATAGCTAGATAGATAGATAGATAGCTAGATAGATAGATAGATAGATAGATAGATAGATAGATAGATAGATAAGATAGATAGATAGATAGATAGATAGATAGATAGATAGATAGATAGATAGATAGATAGATAGATAGATAGATAGATAGATAGATAGATAGATAGATAGATAGATAGATAGATAGATAGATAGATAGATAGATAGATAGATAGATAGATAGATAGATAGATAGATAGATAGATAGATAGATAGATAGATAGATAGATAGATAGATAGATAGATAGATAGATAGATAGATAGATAGATAGATAGATAGATAGATAGATAGATAGATAGATAGATAGATAGATAGATAGATAGATAGATAGATAGATAGATAGATAGATAGATAGATAGATAGATAGATAGATAGATAGATAGATAGATAGATAGATAGATAGATAGATAGATAGATTAGATAGATAGATAGATAGATAGATAGATAGATAGATAGATAGATAGATAGATAGATAGATAGATAGATAGATAGATAGATAGATAGATAGATAGATAGATAGATAGATAGATAGATAGATAGATAGATAGATAGATAGATAGATAGATAGATAGATAGATAGATAGATAGATAGATAGATAGATAGATAGATAGATAGATAGATAGATAGATAGATAGATAGATAGATAGATAGATAGATAGATAGATAGATAGATAGATAGATAGATAGATAGATAGATAGATAGATAGATAGATAGATAGATAGATAGATAGATAGATAGATAGATAGATAGATAGATAGATAGATAGATAGATAGATAGATAGATAGATAGATAGATAGATAGATAGATAGATAGATAGATAGATAGATAGATAGATAGATAGATAGATAGATAGATAGATAGATAGATAGATAGATAGATAGATAGATAGATAGATAGATAGATAGATAGATAGATAGATAGATAGATAGATAGATAGATAGATAGATAGATAGATAGATAGATAGATAGATAGATAGATAGATAGATAGATAGATAGATAGATAGATAGATAGATAGATAGATAGATAGATAGATAGATAGATAGATAGATAGATAGATAGATAGATAGATAGATAGATAGATAGATAGATAGATAGATAGATAGATAGATAGATAGATAGATAGATAGATAGATAGATAGATAGATAGATAGATAGATAGATAGATAGATAGATAGATAGATAGATAGATAGATAGATAGATAGATAGATAGATAGATAGATAGATAGATAGATAGATAGATAGATAGATAGATAGATAGATAGATAGATAGATAGATAGATAGATAGATAGATAGATAGATAGATAGATAGATAGATAGATAGATAGATAGATAGATAGATAGATAGATAGATAGATAGATAGATAGATAGATAGATAGATAGATAGATAGATAGATAGATAGATAGATAGATAGATAGATAGATAGATAGATAGATAGATAGATAGATAGATAGATAGATAGATAGATAGATAGATAGATAGATAGATAGATAGATAGATAGATAGATAGATAGATAGATAGATAGATAGATAGATAGATAGATAGATAGATAGATAGATAGATAGATAGATAGATAGATAGATAGATAGATAGATAGATAGATAGATAGATAGATAGATAGATAGATAGATAGATAGATAGATAGATAGATAGATAGATAGATAGATAGATAGATAGATAGATAGATAGATAGATAGATAGATAGATAGATAGATAGATAGATAGATAGATAGATAGATAGATAGATAGATAGATAGATAGATAGATAGATAGATAGATAGATAGATTATGAAGTTTCAAGCGAATTTTGATTTAAACAGCTGTAAGGTTTCACTGTCACAGTGATGAATGTACCGTTACAGTTAAACAGTGCTGCCAATTATGCTTTTTCCTATGATAGATTCTGGAGTTTCCAGCGATTTTTGATTTAAGCAGCTGTAAGTTTTCACTGTCATAGTGATGAATGTACCGTTAAAGTTTAACAGTGCTGCCAATTATGCGTTTTCCTATGTTAAACTGAACAGCGATGCGACTTTTATAAAGGAAAAACTATTTTCATTAATTTAGAAGAATTTTTTACTGTGTATCTTAAATTTTTTTAATACATACATATATGTATGTATATATTTAACTAAAGCTTAAACTATTTTTATATTCAACTTGAACTAGGTTCATTTAAACAAATACTTAACTGATTAACACGTTTTAATTAAGCCTAGACTTGATTTAAAGGTTTTTAAACTTGTTTAGTTTTATTGGCTTAAAATATTTATTATTAGAAAAATATATTTAAAAATATGTATAAATTAAGCTAAAGCTTTAAAACAACAAAAACAAACAAGGCTTAAAACAAATGAAGCGCATAAACTAAAGAAAAAAATCAATTTGAAAGTGAAATTTTTTTTGTATAAAATATAAATTACAAATAACAATAAATTACAGACATTAAAAACACAAAGCTAAATAAGCATAATTTTCAAGACAATAAACTAATGAGGCTTATTACTGATAGATAAAGTATTTAAAAACAATTTGAACAAATGTCTTAACATTTTAAAAGCCTTATAAGGAGTATAATGTATGATTAACGTAAAAGACTTGTTGTCTAATATGAAAAAGACTCTGAAACAAGCTTAAATACCTGCCACTTTTTTCCCCAAATGTTTGTCACCACAAAACGGAAGCTTTATATTGGTTGTTTTGTATGCCGTTGGTTATTTTCAAAAGTCTATAGTACGGGCCTTATATGTTTGTTTTTACTAGTTGGTATAAAAATTTTAGCCTTTAACCATACTTTATGGTTATGTATACCATATTTTTGCTTTAAAATAACAACAATTTTGTTTGCTTTCGAGCGTTGAGGTCTGAAGTAAGGAGAAACTGCAACAACAAATTTGTTAAAAACAAAAACTAACATAAAACTACGCATTGAATTCCAATTGGTAATAAATATTTCGTAATAACTGCAATTGAATTTTAAATAAAATACACAATTGAAATTGAAACCAATTGCTTAAGTATTAGTTTAAACAAAGAAAAAGTTGTGTTAAGAAAAAACTTAATTAAATAATGAACAAAAAAAAAAAAAAAAAAAACAAGAATTTTCGTGAATATTTAACAATTATCATAAAGTTGTCAACAACATTCTAGTGAGCTCTTTATATTATACAAAAAACGCTAATATTGGCAACACTTCTAATAGCCTTAAAGAACCGTTATGTAGCCAGCTGTTAAAAGCAAAAATGCCAGATGTTTGCAAGAAAACTTTATTTCATTAAAAAGTCCTAAAACCCGTAATTAATATTAAATTAATAACAACAAATTCTTAGTAATTGCTTTTCCCTTATATTCTTTAAACTAATTTTTAAAATTCTTAGGTTTTCTTAAATTTTTTCAACTTCTTTGTGTAAAGATATAGGTCATTATTTAATTTTTAATATTACCAAAAAACACGCACTAAAATATTGCGTTTCATTTTTTTACTAATATTAACATTAACACGGAAGACAAATTAGCATAACATATTTTGTTTTAAACAAAACAATGCTTTAAGCTAAAAATTAAAAAAAACGTGTTAAAGTTAGAGAAGAATCAAAATATTTGTTTAAAACCTCACATACTACCTATTAACGGTTTTTTTGTGAGGAAGATTCATTAACACTTGTTTTTCAAAACCAAACAAGACATGTCTCTTATATGAGAAAATAAACAATAAATTTCATTATTTAAGAATGACAAAAAACTAAAGTCTATAGACTACAGTAAAGTATGTACTATAAACTAAAGTCCTATAACCTAGAATAAAGTCCACACTATAGACTAGAGTAAAGTCTATGCTATAGACTAGAGTAAAATCTAGGCTATAGACTAGAGTAAAGTCTAGGCTATAGACTAGACTAAAGTCTAGGCTATAGACTAGAGTAAAGTCTAGGCTAAGTAAGTCTAGGCTATAGACTAGAGTAAAGTCTAGGCTATAGACTAGAGTAAAGTCTAGGCTATAGACTAGAGTAAAGTCTAGGCTATAGACTAGAGTAAAGTCTAGGCTATAGACTAGAGTAAAGTCTAGGCTATAGACTAGAGTAAAGTCTAGGCTATAGACTAGAGTAAAGTCTAGGCTATAGACTAGAGTAAAGTCTAGGCTATAGACTAGAGTAAAGTCTAGGCTATAGACTAGAGTAAAGTCTAGGCTATAGACTAGAGTAAAGTCTAGGCTATAGACTAGAGTAAAGTCTAGGCTATAGACTAGAGTAAAGTCTAGGCTATAGACTAGAGTAAAGTCTAGGCTATAGACTAGAGTAAAGTCTAGGCTATAGACTAGAGTAAAGTCTAGGCTATAGACTAGAGTAAAGTCTAGGCTATAGACTAGAGTAAAGTCTAGGCTATAGACTAGAGTAAAGTCTA